CTAGGCAAGTGATAATTGTCATGGGTTTAGAATTATGGCTTGCTGAGAAATGCAAAAATTTCTTCTTTTCCTCCTCCTCCTTGTCCTCCTCCTCCTTCTCCTCCTCTTTCTCTTCCTTCTTCTTGTGGTACTGGGGATTGAACCAAGGGGTGCTCTACCACTCAGCTCTTAAGTCTGCTTAAAAACCCCAAACCAAAATAAACCTTAGTTGGATCTCTGGTAAAGAAAGAAATGGAATTATAACTTACTGGGGTTTTCAGATCAGCTACAAAGTATCTTACTTGTGCATCTTTTGAGTAGAAAAAGATAATGAGATTCTGGAGAGTGTGTCATTCACTATCTCACATAAAGAATGAAAAAGAGAAAGAAGTAAGTAGAAAAGTGATGGAAACTCTATGTTACCCATAGGCCTAAACTAGTTACTATTTGATCTTTTATAGCAAAATCTTGCTGTTAGTAGAAAATTGAGAACCATTAACCTTTACAGATGAAGGGTGTGTCTCACCACAAGATAAATTAGTTGTAGAGTGAAAGCAGTGTTCTCAGAGCTCTGTGATAGGAGTATTATTCTTGATTTTTGCAAATTAAAAATCAAGGTCTGTGTGTAAAGATACTTTGAAAGATAGGTATCAAAGGCAGGTGGGCTAGTGCTGAGCTACTTAATGGGATGCCATCATTAAAACAGTGGATTTCAGCATCTCGTGACAGGATGTGCCAGCAAAATGACTTTGTGTTTTATACTCATAGTTCATTTATGAAAAGGGAAGTTAGATCACCACTGGGTATTGATAAACTCTCCCCTAATAGCAGCATCTGTTTGGAGGAGGACAAAGAAATGGTTCTAACAACACATGCCCATCTCCTCTGAAGCCTGTAGTGCGTTAGTAAGATATAGTGCATTGTGAAGTAGTTTGCATTTGGTAAATGATTCTTCAAATCTACTTCACTGTTTTCATGTATTTCTTACCCACGCAAACTATATTGATCTATTTTTCATGGAGTCAAAAGGCAATGCCAGAGGTAACCATTACAGTTGTGCTTCATTTGCCTGTTCTTTGAGGCTGGGAGCCAGGTTGCCAAGGCCCCATCTCTTAGCCGCAGCTGTTAATTAAGGAAAACACCAGACAAGGGGTGAAGGAGGTTTGAGAAGAGACAAACAGACACACATAGGGAGAAAAAGCTGGGGTTAGGTGGGTCATTAACCTCTGATGGAGGATAATGACTACGAACTAGTGCAGCATATTTATTATATAGATTTCATCAAAAGGTTATTTTGGGGAAGGTTTCATCAAAGCAGTCGATCTGAAGGATGCAGGACTGGTAAGACATTGGGGTTTTCTTGCTATGCTCAGAATTCTATGTCCCACGAGTTGGTGCCTGAGATCAAGGTCCAGAATGATGCATCTCTGCACCTTTGCATGGCGCCTTGTTGGGCTGGGTGTCACTGTAGCAACTGGGCCAGCTTGACCTGCAACTTTGCACTCAGGAAGTTCCCAGCACAACACAACCACAAGGCAGGCAGAGAGACCATGACTCAAGTCATTATTCTCCACAGCTGTTGTTCTTAAGATGACGGTAATAGAGGTTGGTAGGTTCTTACTCTGAAGTCCATTTCCTTGGTCATCTTATTTTATCTTGTTTTGTAGAGGATGGATTGGGTAAAGTATTAATTATAGTTGTTTAAATTATAATCTTGTTTGGTTCTAACAGTTTCTTTGTGCATTTCATCTTTCCTTTTTCTTAGGTGATTCAGACTATTAACAAAATTGTAGTACATACTTTTCTCCCAATTTTATGTTTGGAAGATGAGAAATTTCACACAGAAGTTGAACTCTTTGTTTTGTAATTATAGGAATTTGCAGACATGCACAAAACCAACCCAGTTCCAGCAGTCATCACGTGCAGTGCAGCCGATCTTGTTTAATCTTTATTTTCTTCCTTCATTGTTGCTTATTTGCCATGAAGTTGTAAAACAGATCATGGCTACTATACCTTTTCATTGGGTAAATACTTGAGTATGCATGTCTGAATATGACTTTAAAAAATGTAAATGCCTTCAGCCTACTAAAAATAAATTATTTCAGGTTATCAGGAAATATTTAAGTTTTCCCAAGTCAGGGCTCAGTTACAGTTCATGATTTTTAAAGAGCTGAAATGTCTCTTAGTTGTAAGTGAATACAGGTTTTCCTTCCCTTTTTCCCTTTGGCCATTGATTCTATATGTCATTTATCCTGTAGAAATTCTCATGTTCTGGATTTTATTGGTGGCATCTCTTTTCTGTCACTCATCATGGTCTGTCCCTTTATTTCTAGTAAATTTGAATTTACCCTTCCTCAGAAGGGTGGCCAGGGTCTCAAGTTATTTTGGAACCTAAGCAAGTTTCAAGTTTAGGTTAATTTTGTTTTTAAAAGAAGTGGGCTCTGAATTGACTGATAAGAAGTTGAGAGTGGAGCATCTCAGCACCTTCTTCAGCTGAGTAAGATTATTTCTCATGAGAAGATGAGAAAGATGATGTGCAGAGATGCAGGTGAGGGGTCAGCTCATATACAGTGTCATTAAATGTTCCTTTCTTTGACACAATTGCATAGTCTTTTTGTTTTGTTCTTCCTGTGTAATTAGCAACAGTTCTCAAATGACAGAGCCCTTATTTGGCATAGGATTGCTAGACACTGTCAGACTCTTTAAGTTTAAGCTTTGCCTTCTGAGTCATTGAATTTGGTGACATTTTTGTCATATCACGGTCTGGCCAACATTACTTTCCTATTAAGGATGATGAAATTCTTGCTGTTAATTTTATACTGGAAATGATTAATGTAAAACTCTGTCCAGTAAAAAAAAAAATCTAATCGTGTAGTTAATTTTTATGATTTATGTAGAAAAAAATAAATAAAAAGTTATCTTTAAATAGTCTTTTTATTACAGAGAAAAGAGACCTTTAAAATATGCTCCTTCCTCTCATAAAATATGGTATTTCTTAATTTAAAATTATTATGACTGGTACCATGTCAAATTCTTTTAATCTATTAAGGCTTGTTGGGAACTCTATAAAGGATAATTTGACTTTTTTGTAAAAACAATGGGTAATTTGGGTTGGGGATGTGGCTCAAGTGGTAGCGCTCGCCTGGCATGCGTGGGGCCCAGGTTCGATCCTCAGCACCACATACAAACAAAGATGTTGTGTCCACCGAGAACTAAAAATATATATATATATATATTAAAAAATTCTCTCTCTCTCTCTCTTTAAAAAAAACAATGGGTAATTTAAAAATATTTAAAATATGTACTTGACAATGAAAATGATTTTATTTTTCTTGGAATATTTATTTCCTATGTTAAAAATTATTTAAGTGATCACCTCTTTTTTGAAAGAAACCTAAGAATGTGGATATTTATTTTCATTGAAATGCTTTTCTTATTTGTTTGACAAATGTATATTTGAATTTACTATTTCTTTTCTTTTTTTTTTTTTTGCCTACCAGGGATTGAACCCTGGGTGCCTAACCACTTAGCCACATCCCTAGCCATTTTTGTATTTTATTTAGAGACAGGGTCTCACTGAGTTGCTTAGGGCCTCATTAAATTGTTTTGGCTGGCTTTGAACTTAAGGTCATTCTGCTTCAGCCTCCAGAGTCATTGGGATTATAGGCGTGTGCCACTGTGCCCAGCTGAATTTATTATTTCTTTATGTGTATTATAGTTATTTATATTGTATTGTTTTAGTTATTTTCAAAACTTGATGAGGAATTACCTTGGTTCCTATATAATTATTTTAACTGATTATATGATGCAATTAATATTGACCAGTGACTTTCTATTGCTTAGGGGTTATGTAAGAGTTTCTGAATATTCCCTAATGGACAGGGAAAATCAAAGGGTATAACTCACTGTTTAGAATATTGAAGATATTAGTTTTTTTTTTTTTTTAAATATTTGTAGGGCTGGCCTTGATCCCAGGGATGCTCTAGCACTGAGCTACATCTTCAATCCTAAGCCCTTTTTACTTTTTGAAATTTTGAGACAGGATCTCACTAAGTTGCTGAGGCTGACCTCGAACTTGTGCTCCTCCTGCCTCAGCCTCCAGAGCAACTAGGATTACAGGCATATGCCATTGTATGCAGCAACTTTGCCTTTCTTAGTCCAGGGATCCTCCTAAATCTTCAGACTGAGGGAAAAAAAAATGGCATCGCAGCCCATTTGGCATTTGCTGTTGTTTTTGTTTCTTTTATGCATTCCCAACATGCCTTTCCTAATAGATCTTATTCTTAGTGGCTTCTGTAGATATTAAGAACTAGCTCCTTAAATCTACCTGATTCTGCTAAGGAGAGATATTAGGTTGAAAGTAATAATCTTTTATAACATAGTAACTCAAAACTGCATATCTACTAATTCTTTAAAGGAAAAAAATAAACAATAAATAAAAGATGCAAATTTTGTGGCTTTTGAGACTTGTAAAGAATTCATGGTTAAGAAGGAAAAATTAAGACTTTGTTTTTAAATACTTACTTCAGATTTGTTGTGGACTCGGATCAGTCTTATGATTAGATCTTTTCTTTGTTTGCCACATGTCTGTAGCAAACTGTAATCGTCTGGTGCACCTCAGTGATGTGTGTCATAAATCTGGGAAGATTTACAGGTGACAGTGAAGCTGGGGGATTAGATAGTATCTAAGGGTCTTACTGTTAACAGATTTTTAAAATGTGCATATAATGGACTTTTTTTTTCTTCTTAATGTTGAAATACTCCATTGAGGACATGCTTTTCCTCCAACACTAATGAACTTTTTCTTTACCATTAATATAATTTGTCATTGAGGGGCTAGTTATTTGAATTGAATTTGAATTGCCTGGTTTTCAATAGCCCTGTGTTTCATCTTACGTAGAATAACACACCAGAACATTCCCATGGGTTAATGAGGTTTCCAATCACTATATTGAGTTGTAAAGTGTTAGCATTTAAACTCTTGGTAAACCTACTTACATTATTTCCTTCTGTCTTTGCAGATAAATTATTAGTCATAACTGTAGCAACAAAAGAAAGTGATGGATTTCACCGATTTATGCACTCAGCCAAATATTTCAATTATACCGTGAAGGTATAGTATATTTTTACTTTATAGAGGTGGTGGGATATGTGTTCAAAGTACATTTTTCATGTCAACAACAAAATCTGTAATTCCTTCAAGGAAGATGAAATTTGTTTGCATCATTGCTATTTCTATGCACATTGAAAGCTATATTTTGGCCTTACTAATATTTGCCATGCAGACAATAAATTTGTTAATATTTGCTAATATTTGACATAAGCATGTTCTATAAAACACAAAGAATATGTAAATGTGTATCTGTATATGCATATATAAATACTTTATTTTGCGGGGCTGTACAAAGATTAGACAGTAGTGTTCTTTGGTGACTGAATAATTTTTTCTGTTATGGGTTGTCCACAGAGGTGGTTTCTTTACAGGGAATTGGAAGCATGGCTGTGGGAGGGGAGACCTGTCTTGTCCATCACTAAGAGTTACTTTTCCTTTCTTGCTTTGTTTCTGTATCTGTTTTAGAGGAATTTGGGAACACTAAACACATTTAGAAGACATCTCTAGGGGACATTTTACTCATATGTGATCAGAGGAGACTTGAGGAGGTTGATAGAACTATTAAACTGAGGAGGGAGGGTCTTAGTATTTTTACTGATTTATTCATTTGATAGAAGGATCTGCTAGCCAGATATTTTCTCCAAATAAAAGGAGATTAAGCAAGTATCTAGGCAGGAAATTAAAAAAAAATAAATAAAAGGAGGGGAAAGATTGCTTTGGCCTGGGGAGAAACTGAGCTATACTTACATGTAATTCAATAAAAGGTCGTATTCCTTAGGCAGCCTCTGGAGTAGAAGGTACTGATGGTGATGCACAGCAGCTAGTCAAGAGGTGGAATTTGCAAGGAAAGAGGGTGGTAACAAGGGTACAGAGTACAGTGAAGGTCAGAGGTACAGGTGCTTGCTTAATAAAAGATCAATGAAAATATGTTCAAAGTACGTTAAGAGAGACAAGAAATATAGTGATATTCACTGAAGTCAAAGAAGAATTAGGATAAAACATTTCTGAAGTCTTTGAGGAGGATCTTTTGGGTTCAGACTAGGCTGGCAAAATAGACTGTTATGTGCAAGTCACCTGACTAGGAACTTTCCATATGGTACCTTCTTAGTCATTATATGAACAGTGTAAGGTACATATTTATTTATGGGCAAAGAGAACCTGCTCCAGGGTCCATAGCTACAACCTGTGAGGTCTTAGACCACAGCCCTATTTGACTGGCTCTGGAGTTCATGCCCTTTCTGCTGGCTTCCCACTTTGTAATGCAGTGATTTTCAAAGTGTGGACTTCAAACCACAGTACCCTCATCACCTGGGAACTAGTTAGAAAGGAAACACTCAGGCCACCTCAGAACAGCTGAATAACAAATTCTGTGCTTTCTCCAGCTGTCCACGGATTCTGGTGTGATTCTGGTGCACCCTGAGGTCCGGCGCATGCTGCATGGCCTGTCACTGTACTGTATGACCCTCAGGTGTGGCCAGGGCAGTTGCTATTGCAGTATCAGAGCCTCCAGAAGGGTTGTGAAACCAATCAAGTAAAAACCAATAATTCTGCTAGATTAGAAATAATTTGAATCCTGATCCACACGAGTTTGAGTTTTCATGGGTGGAATATTCCTCCCATTCCTCATTATAGGTAGAGATGAAATGATTCTGAGAGATTTGAGGCTGGGAGTCCCACTGGCTTGCTTTGCCAACAGATTTATATTTGGCTCTGTGTTAAGGACAGTGACAACTCATGGTATTTATTTATTTTTAGTTTACTTTCTTCATTCGTCTTTATTTTTAGTTATGTTCTCAGTTATGTTCCCCCTAGTCTCCTAATACATCAATATTTTAGCACCTTCAGACACTGTTTTGAGGAAACAAAAGATAAAACTGTGTATGACAGGAGGGACACATCTTATGCTCCTCTTGCCTCAGGGCCAGGTGTGTAAACAGTGTGTTTCCAACTCAGGAGGCTCTATGGAGACTCATGTGCCAGTGAAGATCCAGGGTACAGGTGTAGTTCTAAGGGTACAGGTGCACAGTGAAGATCAAGGGTATAGGTGTAGCTTCAAGGGTACAGAGTACAGTGAAGGTCAGAGGTACAGGTGTAGCACTAAGGGTGCAGGTGTATAGTGAAGATCAAGGGCACAGATGCATAGTGAAGATCAAGGGTACAGGTGTAGCTCCAGTTAATTGTGTGCAGGCAGTTTCTTGCATTGATAAATTCTTAACAAGAACGAAGACATTTGAAGATTTAGAAGGTAAAGAAAGTGCCCTGTTATTTGATGGCCTCTGCATTTCCCTGAACAATCCATTTTGGTTTGGTAGGAAATTCCTTCAGGGCCAGTCGAGGAGAACCCTGGGCTTCAGGGGATTTCAATCTTGATCTTACACATTTCCTACCAGATTGAAAAAAAAAAACTGATATGGAAGATCTCTTCATTTTCTTTTTAATTTTATGCTGAACAAAGAATAATAAGATACAAGAAATATTTCCTCAGTCCAGCTGCATGCAGTAGACTCAAATTTTGAAATGATAAAATTGGGAATGGCATTTTTGGGGTGGATAATATTAAAGAAGTATGACTGATCCAGTCATTAATTTCTTTTTTCTGGCATCATGATTTAATGTGACACGTGGAGAGTGGGTTATGGTGTAGGACTGTAAAGATGGCAATGATTTTAAGTTTTTTTATGGTGTTGTCATAATTTAATCTGAGTTTTGCTTAGGGTTGAAATGTTGATTTCTTTGATAGGTCCTTGGTCAAAGAGAAGAGTGGAGAGGGGGAGATGGCATTAATAGTATTGGAGGGGGCCAGAAAGTGAGATTAATGAAAGAAGTCATGGAACAATATGCCAGTCAAGATGATCTGGTCATTCTGTTCACTGAATGGTAAGAGACACACCCTGTGGATTTTTCAGTCTATATTAAATTATTTTTTTAAAAGGTTGAGATTTATATCTATGTATTATTATGCATTAAATTATCTTATTGATAAGGAGTCATTGTTTTAAAAAGTAGATTTTTCTCATAGTTATAAAACCATGGTCTGACATAATTGTGTAATATGTTTAAAGTGAGGATTTATACCAGGTGAAATGGTGCACGCCTATAATCCCAGCACTGTGGAAGGCTGAAGCAGGAGGAGCATAAGTTTGGCCATCCTGGGAGACTTAGTGAAACCCTATCTCAAAATGAAAAATACAGAGGACTGGGGATGCAGCTCAATGATAGAATGCTTTCCTAGCATGCACAGGCTTAGGGTTTAATCCCTAGCATTAAAAAAAAAAAAAAAAAAAAAAAAAAAACAGTTGCTATGGACACTAATGAGAAAACATGGTATAGGCTAATGTTTTTGTGAAATTCATGTTTTAGTGAAGAAGTTAAGGTCATGTTGAACTTTTCTGTTAAGAAGAGTGGCTCAACCGATTCTGATTACCCTGGGGTGGAAAAAAGATCATGTAAAGTTATAAACACAAGTGAAATGCAAGAAAGCCAGTGTTGTGAGAGAAGAACCTTCTCAATGTATAAATATCTTTTTGTTTTGGTGCTGGGAATCAGCCCTTGGTTTGCATTCAAAGGATGCTTTAACACCCAGCTATCCCCCTAGCGTATAAATACTGTATCCCCCTAGCCCATAAGTACTGCTTTTTGTATACTCCACTGTCCTGAATAATTTGGAGTATCTGCAATCTTCTCTTAGCTTCTTCTTATATTAAAAAAAAAAAAATAGATCAACTTGTCATGAATCTTTCAAGTTGTCACTTTTCTTTCTCACATTCTTTGTTTTTTTTAATTTTAATTTTTATGTTTTTGGTTACTGATCACTCATTTTAAATCCCCTTGTATTTTCCTCTTTAACTTAGAAAGGACTTTCTGTATCTTTTATTTTGAAAAAAGTTAAAAGGACTCTTATTTGCTGATGAAAATAAGAGAGCTTTTAAAAATATAAGGATGTAAATAAGAGACATAAATGTGAACATGAAAGTAGAAATAATGAAGTTTCCATAACATCAGCACCTGAAAACTTGGAAAAAATCCATAATACTTGTATCTTTGGAATTTTCCTGATGTCTCCCAGGCAAGAAATTACATTCTGCTCGTGTTTACCTTTTTGGGCAAGATGTGCTTTGGCATGGCATACCTCAGAAACCCTGTGGGCTGAGCTTGTGTACTGTGAATTTTTCTACATTGTCTGTTGTTATGTATATTTCCCTAATAAAAATAAAATAAAATAATTCATCATAAAAACTGTTTAGATTAAATATTGGGTATATTTTGGTTTAAAATTACCATAGATTTCCAATAACTAGATCAGTTAGCTTGAAGTTTCCAAATGTACATTTGGGTTTTGACTGTGAAGCAGATTCTCCTTGTGAAAGCTTCCACATATGAGCCAATAGTGATTTCAGATTCCTCAAACTCTTCATGGGTTTTCGGAAGAATCCTATCCTTTTCCCCTCACCTATCATCCCTGTTCCCTCTCCTGCCAATCCAAGCTTTTGCCTTGGGGAACTGGTGAAGTGAGGCCAGTTTGTTTCTAAGGAGACTTGGGTCTCCCTGTGATCTAGAGCCAGCTGGATGTTGGGTTTGTGTATTCAGATGATATTTAAACCCAGCTGGACAGAAACAATGGTCGTATTTTAATAGAAGGCCAGTGTCTTCGAGGTCTTAGTGTTTGATATTGATCAGTGAGTCAGATGGAAGCCATGTCTCACACCTCTGAGAACAGCCAGCCAGCTGGAAAGACCGAGGCCCAACTCAGCTAAGTCCTTGTCCAGAAGGAGTCATTAAAGTTTTCTCCACCATCACCCAGTGTCCCCATCTTGTGGCTCAGCCAAGGGTGCAGGAGAAAGTAGCCAAGAGGGCACAGAGGGGCGGAACAGCTGCTGTCATTTTAGGGTATATTTTTCCTCTTATTTTTTAAAACAACACTTCAAAAAAGCATTGTATACAGTGTGTTGAGTATAATTGAACATTATGTCGGTATTGTGTACTGGGCCCAGGAGAATTGAATTCAGCTCTTTATAAATTATTTTAAATCCATTGCCTATTCTATTTTTAAAAAATTGCTCATCTTTTGATGAAGGGTCAGAATTCAAGATACATTCATCTTAAGCAAACAAACACCTATTTTTCATGTGATTTTTTAAAAAGGATGATTCAATTATAATAGTTTTGTAAAAGCATAAGGCACTACTATATAAAAATGCACAGATTTATGTGATTATTTGTTTACATAGGCCTTTAAAATAATTTTTATATCATGACTTGTGTATTTTAAATGTAAAATTTAGTGATTTTGGTATACTGAACAAAGTTGTATAATCATCATTACTATTCAATTTTAGAACATTTCTAATATATGATAAGGGTCCTTTGTCCCCATTTAGATAGCATTTGTGCATTAAATTAGAAACAGTTTTATGAACTTGTGTCACGAGAATGTATATTCTGAATTAAATTTTGGAACATCTAAAATAAGAGGCTGGATCTTTTAAAAAACTCACTCTACAGAATAAGATTTATCATATTTAATTTAGATAAAAATTAATATTTGTCAAGGTTTTGGATTCTTTTCAAAAGAAAACTAAACCTGAGGATCTCTACATATGAAATTGCCTCCAATATTTTTTAAAAAGTTATTTAAAGTTTTTTTTTTTTTTGTGTGTGTGTGTATGTGTGTGTGTGTATGTGAGTACATGTGTTTATTTGCAATTTATATGGCTTGATGATCTCTTGGTTAGAGCAACTATGGACATGTGCAATGCATTTAGTGGCTTTTAAAGGACAAAAATTATTCTTTTGAAGCAAACTAATGAAAATTTGGAGGATAAATATTGTTACTTGATAGCTGCAGATTCCCTTAGGAAGAGAAATTATCCTAGATGGTTTTATAATACCTTTATCTCTCTGGAAGAGCATTTATAAGGTACTTTGTGTTACTTTTAGAATTGCCTTATAAAGCATGTATTTCTTTTACTGTGTTCACAATGAAGACAGGTGAGCAGCTTTAATTTTTCTATGGGGACCACATGTTGTTTCTTTCTTTTGTAGATACAGTGCATAAACTAAACTGTAACAAAAAGTGGTGTTCTTGGGAGTAAATTTGATACTCACTGAATATCCTCACATAATGCTTGCTGTGCTGTACACAGTGCTGGAAGCCAGCAGCATCCCAGGACCTAACGTAAGCACATGGTGGAACCATTCTACCAGATTTTTGAGTGTCAGATAAGGTCATTTAGTAAAAATGTTGACACTTTTATTGTTATAGACTTGAGAAAATTTCTTTTAAACTAAAAAAATTATGTTGAAGAAAACTAGTTAGAAGTAACGTCAGTGCAGTTACTTGAGTTTGAGTTAGGGACAGGGCAGAATTTCATTGGCAGTAATGTGTATATCTCAATTAATCAGCACTCGAATGTGCTCGGTTTTAAAGACCCTCAGTATATGTATTATTCACAAGATATATTTGGTGGTAGTTATTGGCCTTATGAAAAAGGAGTATTTTCTTTTGTGAAAGCATCTGCTTAAAATATTTTGGTATGTAGAAACCTTCCAGTTCATCCATGTATTTGTTTAAACATGATTAAGCCTTTGACATAAGATAAAGGGATTGGCTATTGCCAATTAAAGACAACGTAAGGAAAACTAAACTTAAAAAAATTAGAATGGGTGGGGCACAATGGCGCACACTTGTAATCTCAGTGGCTCTGGAGGCTGAGGCAGGAGGATGGAAAGTTCAAAATCAGCCTCAACAATTTAGCAAGGCCCTAAGCAACTTAGCTGAGGGCTTGGCTCAGGGGTTAAGGGTCTTTGGGTTCAATCCCTGGTACCACCAAAAAAGAAAAAAAGTAGAATGGTAGTCAGTGCTACACCATGAATGCTGATATATATGATTAAAATAATCTAAAGTGAAGTCATTATTTCAGTAGTTTCCTAGGTGGCTGTGATATGGGAAGTTGGTCCAAGATAAATAAACTGTGGCTAAAAAAAATGGAGGAGCAATCTAATCACACCAGTCTGTGCTGTGCTACCTTGTGCCCTATCACTGATCCTCTAGGCTGAATTTAGTTGTTTGCTCCACACTGTGACGTTGGTTTATTTATGTATTTGTGTATTTTCTGGGCACCATAGCAAGGGATCCATAAATACTGGGTAACAGTGTATTGCTTCACAAGGAGAAACAGACCTTTTGAAGGGGAGAAATATGATGACTATTTCCAAACTTTTTTCAAACTTTTTTCTTTTATTTATTTGAAAAATAAAATGAATTCTAAAGTCAGAAAGACATTTGGAACTTTGTAAGGATTAAAATTATTAAAAATTGACTTCTAAACAGAAACTGTGAAAAGGATGCTGTTGCCTCTTCTGATCCTTCTTATGTCAACCAGTGTTTGTTTCTTTTGGCTTCTCACTGAGCATTATTTATTGAAAAAGTGAGTTCACTGAGCCAGTTTTTCTCTCAGCACTCAGTGTGCGTGTATTGAGCACAAAATGTGATCTAGGCATTGACAGTAGCACTGTAGAGAAAGAGCCATGTGCAGATTCCCAGGGAGTTCTCACTTGTGTCACACCTCCTCAGCCACCAAGACTGAACAAACTTCAGGATGTGTGTTTTCAAAACAACCTGAATGTTGGCGTCATCTTAACTTTAGCATCATTTACTTTAGTAAATTATGCAAAGATCATGTTTTAGTGGATCACTTGGTGAATTGTTTGTTAGAATATTATTTTTCTGATTTTATTCTTCTTATTATTTGGTACTGGGTAATGAACCTAGGGGTCCTTTTCCACTGAATTATATCATCAGCCCTTTTTATTTTTATTTTGAGGAAGACACTCAGTAAGTTGCTTACACTTTCACTAAGTTACTGAGGCTGGCCTTG